TTACCCAGGTTGGAATCAAGGACTAAATTTTCACTAGTCAATAAAGAAGTGATATGGCACAAGCCTACAATTGTTCACCCTCAGCTGTGCGGCATACTTTGTGGCATGGTTTAGCCTGTGCAAATTAACACTCGCAGACAGTGCTAGGACACAGTTTGGCTGATAATACATGCTAAAGCTTGTTCCTAACAGGAAATTCAGATGCAGGCATTTTGCTTGGTGAAAGGGGAGCATTTCAGCAACTGGGCATCAGCTGTGCCATGCCAGATGGCTCAGGGCCTCAGAACAATCCCTCGCTCATTTTTTTCCAATTGCACAGATGTAGCCAAGGAGTCCTAGCACACATTCCGTCTAGGGCAAAAGATATTTAAGTTTCATTCAGTTTGATCCATTCCGTAACATATATCTACATCTCTCAGCAGATAAATCACAGCTGAACAGCTGAAAACATGCTTTCATGCCCCACAAAGTTTACCCCTGGTTACAGTAGATGAAACTCCTGCCCAAAACGAAGTTTAGCAATTTGTACATTTTTTGGTCTTGCAATCTTAGAATGACTGATTCAAAGCCATTGAGTAAGCATGAATTCTTCCCTTAAAAGACATGTATCAAGCGCAATCCACCTCCCTGTTAAAAGTTGTGGTTCAAAACCAGAAAAAATTATATTTGTGCTTATGACAATACGTTCAATTGTCAGTAACTACACAGAAATGTGCTTATCACTGTGCATTTAAGGAAAACATTTCACATTTATCAAAACTTTTTCACACAGGTAGTCATATTTAAACGAATTTGATGGGATTTTAAGAAACAGAAAGACTTACCATTTCACTTTCTTTTTCCAATAAAAGGTCTTCTGGAGGTTTTGTATCCTTACCTGAAAAATTATTATACTTCATGTATGCATTAGTCACTTAGCAATTTTATGTTTCTTACGTGAACTTTTAAATGCATTCAACATAAAACACAAGAAATATTAACAAAATCTAGCACAAAAGCATAAAAAAACCCTGTAACTCATAGTTCAGATCTGTTCACAACTTTATTAGCATCCCACAATTCTATCACCCACAAGATTAAACCCCACTGAGTGAAATTATGTAAAACAATAGCATCAGAATTTATACTGGATTTCTTATGAAATGGAATACAATTACCTTTCCTTGAAATTCTCTTTAAATTCAAAGCTTTTTTCCTTTTCTCTTGAAATTCGATTTGCAGCTTTATTTCAACAACCTGAAATGTAAACCAAATCTAATAAAGCACTTAAATTTTATAAATAAATGACTGAAGATGAAAAAAACAGTATGACTTGCACAAGTATTAGTAAGTTGGTATTTACCTGTTCAATGTTAGACCAGAAGTATTCTATTTCTCTAGCAATTGATGCAGCAATTCGCCTTAGTTTGTTTTGTTCTTCCCTTTTAGCTCGCTCTTCATTAAGTTTCTTTTCTTCATGATAACGAGCCACAGTTCTTACCATCTAAAATACCATGAGAGATACTGAATTAGGTTACCTCAAAATACATAACATTGTGCTTCTTAAGATTAAAGTGGTTAGCAGCAGCCAGATGCTGACCATAGCTTTACACATGTAGCACTTACCTCCAATATTTCTAATTCTTACCACGCCAGTAAAACAACAGACATGAAACTCAAAGGAAAAAAGAAAATATAGGAACTATAACTAAGCAATCAAGTAGGAAACTCTTAATTCGATCCTCTCTCTCAATACAAAAATTAGGAAAAAAATCTACTGAAATTAGCAGCAAACACACAAAAGAAAACTTTTTTTCAGACAGCACATACAAAGTCATAGAGATCACACCACAAAATGTCAGAGACCAAAGGTAAAATGAGTTCAAAAAGAATGTACATACATGAGCGAAAGATCAGTGAACAGCTGTTAAAGACTGACTTGATTGCAACCTCTAGCTCAGAAGGTCCCTAAAACATTGACTTCCAGAAGTTTGAACATGCTGCCAGGGGAAGGATCATTTCGTATTTGCCCCTCCTGTTTCTGCTATTCTTAAAAACCTACCATTGGCCACAAATGGAGTAAGTGCTTCAAATCTAGATTTAAATTATATTCAAAATGCAGATCTTCATTTTACAAAATGATACACCTATTTCAATACTTTGCTTACAAGGAAGAGAGTTCTGAGCTTCCATCATTTCAGAATATACGATAGAAAACAACATGGCAATTTAAACTAATGACCTTCAGTTGCTCTCTTCCTTAGTCCAAACTGGTCAGAAATGTATCAAAAGAAGGTGCTACATTCCCAGAATCCATAGAAAACTCTTGCTTATTGTAAATAAACAGATTTTACATATTTCATCTCACACCACCCTAATTTTCATTCCATCACCGACTTAATTATTCCCACTGTGCTGCTCTCTTCCCCTATGGAAACAGTTCTCTACCATGTTTCCACTGCTGTCCTTAGAACTCCATGGTTTCTCCTTCATCTTTTTCTGAGATTAAGAAAGAAGAATTAGACAGACAACCACACCCAATGGAAGTTATTTACAAAATTCTAGATTTACTCTTCATAGAGAGGGAATAACTGGTTTGCGAGAAAGGCATGATAGCCGTACTTTTAAAATATGACAGTCAACATATTGACTGGGTCCCTTAAACAAGCTATTTGATTTCCAGAGGAATAAAATCCACAAAATCTGAAATTATTCTTTGCATCCACAATCAATACAATTATCTAGTCTGTTTCAAATGTTAGAATATCCAAAGCTGACAACGTGGCTTCTCATTTAAGTTAAAAATCGGTGTCTTATATTCCCATCACTTCTATCTGTAGAAAAAGAACATTTAAATAGCTTTGCTATCAAGCCCAGTGATACCAAGACCGATTGTTCTGAGTCAAAATAATGTTTTTCAAATACCTTCTTAGCAGTTGCCATCTTCCACTTTCTCTCTTGGGCAAAATCAGTTGCCATCCACTGCATTTCTTCCAGCAAATAATCCCAGTGAGATTTTGGTCTTGGAGCCTCCTGGAGTTTAGGCAATCGCCTCAGGGACCATAAACCTTCCTTTCTCAGTTCTGCTATTCGCTGATGGATTTGATTTTCCTTAAAAAGAAGTACATATAGTTACAATGAAGCTGCAGAATGCACCTAAAACAGTAGCCAAATAGAAAATAATAATTGCTTCCACTCCATCAAAATAATTCACAGCAAAAAAAGGTGTAACAGCATGACACATGCATTACAAAAATCAAGTCTGAACACTGCATCAATGAAAAAATTACCGGACTAAATTCAACTTATATGTGAAGAGAATCACAGTACTTTAACTTGTATTACAAGAGGTGCTTTGTTAAATAACAGGATGAAAAAGGTTCACTGGGCAGCACAAAAACAAGTTACAAGACATATGCAAACTGCAATCAAATAATCCTTTTTTCTTCATAAATTGAAATTGCAGATGTATTTATCCAAAGAAGATAAATATAACTTCATTATCAATACTGCCTGATTTTGTGAAAAAACAAGTTCTCTATGATGTTACTGTTAAATAGGCAAAACATCTCCAGTTAGCTATAAAAATAAATAAGGTTGCAGTCACCTCGAATGAGTAGATAGAATCAATATAATAGAAAGAGAAAGAATGCAACAACAGTGTGAAGACCAGTAAGTCTTCTTCAACTTCTCTGAATGCCCATAAAAGCAAAACTCAGATGTAAAGCAGACTAAAGAAAAAAAAAAAAAAAAAAAAAAGGAAACACCCCACTCCCCCGAAAAATAGCCCATTTTCATAGCCCAAACACATCGCTCGTGTTAATTGTTATTTGTGTGTTAACTGTTCATAAGTTTCGGGGAAAATCATAAAATCTTACCAGCTTTACTTGCTCAGCAAGCTTGTCTTGAGAGTTGTCCTGTGGTAATACTGCTGCATTCTGAGCTGGACTTTGTGTTTTAGGTGCTGCTGCTACTGCTAAGCCTGGGGGTTTTGATGCAATAGGAGACAGGGACTTGTTAGTTGCTGGAGAGGTCCTGTTTGTTTGTACTGGATATGTAGAAGGCGGTGTTGTGCCCGAGATAGCTGCTGGCGCAACAGATGAGGTAGGCGGTAGTGTATTTGCCGTAAGACGCTGAGAAGTCTGAGCAGGATCTACTGATGGTCGTGTCAGAGTCACAGTCTGCCCAAGAAACACATTTGCTAGTGGTAAGTTTAGGATTCAATACTGTCTTAGTCTACACTACAGCAGAACATAATGCGGACTTAAATTTAATTTAATAAAAAATTGACACCTGCATTTTTATAAGGAAAGGATTTAAGTGTCCAGTGGAATTAAAAAACGTTAACATATTTCGTGTATTTTCAAGAAGATAATGTTCTTAGATTTTACTGGGCATTGAAACAAACATATTTTCACCCCAATAAAGTTCACATACCTGTTGCTGTATTGTAGCTTGTGGCTGTGACACTTGGTTTGGTGTCTGTCCTTGCACATGGATTGCTGGTGGCACCTGCTGTTGAAGTGGTGCTGGAAGCGGAGCGGAAGTCAGGGGAACGCTTTGAGGCTGGATCTTCACCTGAATCTGAGGCTGAGCTGGAGATTCCACTATCTGTGGTTGCTGCTGTGAAAGCTGCAGCGCAGCTGGAAGAGACGTCATGGGGACATTTGCAGGTTGCAGTCTCCCTGGCAGCTGCGGTGGAGGTGTATGCAGACTTGCTGCGTTCTGCACAGGAGGGCCCTTAGACGGGTCATACTGTTGTTGACTCTGTTTCTGTCCAGTCAGCTGTACAGTTTGAGGAGTGGGAGGCATTCCACCTACAAAGCAAGAGGAAACACAACACAGATGAAATTAAAACATCCAATGCTCTTTACTGATATAAAGAGGAAATCAACTAGACTCATTTGTTACTTACTTTGCCACAAGACACCATCACTTGAAAATACCACATCACAATCACAAAATAAACCACCATTACAGTAAACAACAAAGTATTTCATGCATAGGACTGCAACTAAAATTTGGAGCACAGCAACTATAAAAAAACCCATGTCATTATATGTTTTCTGAATTTCTTATACTAAAAAAAAAAAAAAAAAAAAAGGACTGGTGAGCTAATGGAATTTAACCTAAAATAATACCATCAAGTCTAAGTAATGTTTAGTTCTTAACACATTCACTCTAACACATATTCTAAAGCTTGGCATGACTAATGAATAAAATTTGTCATGATGTTGCAAGTTAGGAGCTTTCCTTTTCATAAATCATTGGCTCAGGTCCAGAATTCTCAGATTAATCATTTTGCACCAGCACCTGTGACGTATTTCCATGCCCACATGCACCTTTGGAGCCCGTCACTCAGCTCCTTAAACAAACCAGGCATTGCATACCAAGTATTAATTTACATGGAGAAGTGCATGGTGGGACTAGGATCTTGGAAGGCCGGAAGCCCAAGTTTCTAGTCCCATCACTAACATCTCCTTGTTAAATTAATGTGCAATTGGCATGTGGTGACACAGTACCTTGTGCCGTTGGCATTAGCTGTTGAAGAGGAACTCCTGAAGCCACACCCGGGTGCTGAAAAACCATCCCATGACGGCCCACTTCAATTCGTGGTCTCTTAGACGAATCTGTGATATTCAAATTCCATTTATGGCATGGTATAATGGAATGGGTTCAATTTTACAAAGCAAACTACTACACATGATTCCAACATCAGCTCAGAAAGCTACAACTACTATACATGTGTAGCATTTATGAAGAACATGCTCCAAGGGCAGAGTGCCTCTAACTTCGAGTCGGCCATCTCCAATCTTCTTAGCGAGATCAATCAACCTAACATGTCTCCATGCCTGCCAAACCCAGTCCTATATATTGTGAGTGGAGTGCACTCTTCACACAGCACCATTCACAATAGATAGGCCTAAGGATACGGCAATTCCCAAGGTGAGGCAAAACTGTATTTCAAGAGTTACAGAACAGTGGGCTCCATTAAGTGTTTGGGAAAAAAAAAAAGAACCAAAGTGAAATTCTGTCTGCGGAACATACCTGCTGGTGCAAGTGCCTGCTGTCTCTTAAAAGCTTCAATTTCTATGGTGTTCACAGTCGCTGTTACTGGAGTCCCTGTATGCGTTTGCTATTGGAAAAAGAAAACAAATCACAAAAGTTCAATCTGTAGATAGTCTAACACCAAGATGTAATTTACAAATGGATCTAAAGACGCCAGCACAGAACAAATCCTTCAGAACAGTTGTACAATGAAGAAAACAAGACTCATTCAATATCTGCTGTAAAGTTTTAGATGTCCGTAATGCACAGATACTCTTAACTGAGTTTAAATTTTAGAACGGTAACTAAACTGATTAAGTTGGTTATATATAATACACGTCTACATTTTTTAAAAAGTGATACCAAACCCAGGAAAACAGGATATGTAAAAAATAAACTTGCCCAATATTTTTATTTCTTTTTTTTAATAAATGGAAATTTCTATTAATGTTTTGCCCTTCATCATTTGCATAATGCTGCAATGGAGTCTAAATGACATATTCATATAGTATATAGCTGCAATAAAAAGCTGACATGACAAAAATTAAACATTGTGACTTCGCTACAGGATTAACTAAAAGGGAAATTAGATGAGGAAGAGAATTTATGCATAAACTGTATTATAACTAACAAGACACAAAAGTAAGGAGAGTCAATACATTTGTGAGCTAATCCTTTTCACTCCGTGTGAAACATCAGTAACTCTCATCCTGAAGACAATTTAAGCTTACTTGAGTCTCCACCACTGTCACTCTCAGAATAGAGCTCCATGAGAGTTAACCTTGAAATATTTCAGGAAAAACTGCTAAGACTCAGCCAAGTTACACAAGTTCCAATTCCAGTTTTCCAGATACTAGACTTGTACTTGTTTGCACAGCTGGCAAAATGAGTACCATGAAGAAACTCGATGAGGAGAAACACAATATTGCCATAAGGCTAATGTGACATCAGAGCTCATCAGAAGTTACTAGACATTTTGTCTGAGGATAAACATCACACAACTATGAATTAACAAGCCTGGAAGAGCACTATTGGTATTGGATGGAAAAGAAATCACAGCAAGTGATTCAGCAACTTGGAGTTTAGCTTCAGTAGGATTACACAGTGCATGAAAACTTTATTTTAAAATTACTACAATTAATATTGGCAATGATGGCAGAGAATATATCCTGGATAATCCTTTCAGCATCAAACTCAGATGGCAGACTTACATACAGGATTACTGAAACAAACAAGTTTGGGTATATGATGATTTCCGTGCTCTTTGGGCCCTCAGCACTGCTGGCAAGTACTTATTAATGTCCGCCAGTGTCTCTGCAAGCCCAGTTCTTTGCAGTGAGTTTCCAAGTCACATTTTTAAGTTCTCAATATTTAGCCATGCTATACCCAATATTCTACTATGAAACGTATTATGAGAAAAATAAGGGTCCAAAGAAAGGGCTTAAGAGATTCTATCAAAAAATATAAAGATGGACTTTATGTATGCCTCTATGTCCTGGAAAATGAGCTAATTTAACATTCAAGTTCTCTAAGCGTAATCTGCTGTTGGTGAGAGACTCTGCCATATCGATGTACAGTAAGGATTTGAAAATGTTGTGAAAATTTATTATGACAACATAGCAAAGACAGCAATTTCCCAAAAGAATCTTCTGGTTTATTCACAGGTCTTTTCACCACTGATTTTTAATAGAAATTCTACCAATGTAAGTTAAGCCTAAGGAAGTAAACACCAGTCTATACTGAAATAATCTGTAGCCATCACAACCCTACATCTTCAATGCTTCCTCGAACAGTATTAATAAACATAGCCAACGTCACTTAAGATGACTGGGTTTCAAACACTCCTTTTTGAGCTGAATATATCTCATGCCACTCAGATTCTATCAATAGCTATGAATTAATAACATTTAATCTCTTTGCTGCTGTGAGGGCATTTGTGGCCACTCTAGCGATACAGCTATAGCCTTAAGATGTGAATTTTGGTTTTAAGAATTTCTGACTCATATTCATGCTTAATAGTCATGGTTTACTGTCATATCACACTTGGATTAAGTTTTCAAATTAAGATATGGATTAAGCTTTCAAATGCTTGTCTTCTCACAAGGCAGACATGCAGCATATTTCAAGTCCAACGGCCAGTGCCTGGCAGAGCATCATACACTTAGGCATTTATAGAATTTTCAAAATAAGTCACAAAACTTATTTTCTACAATGCTACTGGATTAATTAACAAATTCAGCTTATGTCCTGTTTGCATCAAATGCTTTCTGGGACATCAGTTTAAGAAACTATGTTCTCCAAACACTGCTTCAAACGCCATTTATTTCATCTGCACTTTTACTCTGGACGATTGCATACTCACAGTTTCAGGCTACATCTCTACTTTAGGATTTTTGACTGACGTTTTCTTAAGAGTATGCCTCCCAGCTCTCTGCATTATCACCACATAATTTAGGCCAGACACTTCAAAGAGCAAATATGTTATGTCTTTATAAATTGCAGTCACATACCACTAATATTAGACTAAAACTGTCCTAACTAATTAAAATAATGTAGTTCTCCGGAGGTCATGATTATGCAGCACGCCCACAATAATAATTCGGAGTGCCGCACTTATGCACTCAAATTTGAATGATGATGCTGATCGGGACACATTATTTCTCTATAAACAGTTACAAAGAGAAAGACTGATGGAAAGAGATGATACTTTCTGTTAACAGTTTGTGCTAAAAGGTATTATCACAATTTACACAGAGAGTTTTGTACGTTTTTAGCATGTACATACTAGTTTCTCTGAAACAGATCTGAAATGGTATAGTACTTTGAAAAGTACCTCATCACTGCTGTAGCTATAGCTTGATGACAACCCCAATCACTACAGTAAATAACCTGATACAATGTTACATACTCTAAACAGCTTAGATGAAGCCTGTTCACCTGAGGAGACTTCCAAGACATGTCAGTATTGGCCATAACAAAGAGCTCTCAGTGCAAGCCCCTTAACCACGCAACTCGTTTGTAAAACATCATAGTTAACATCCCATTTGTTACACACAGGTATACATTTCATTTAACTCTCCATTTTCCAAAACCTAGATGAAGGCAGTGCAGACTGTACAGCTTCCATGGTACAGCAGAGTAATTCACCCTGTAACACCTGCTATTGGAAGTGTATATAATTGAGCTAAAAGGTACATATTTTAGTTGCAGAGGAATTACAATACATTACTCTCAGGGTATATAAGCAATGATGTCTGGGTAGCACAGATTTGAAGGTAGCTGCATAAACCCATACTAGCCTGAATTTAAAAGTTGCATCATCACCGATCCACAGAAATTTTAACTGATTATCACATTTCTTTTTTTACTTTGTTCAGTACTCCCTCATGCTAAAAAAAAAAAGAAAAAATTGTAAAAAAGGACTTATGTGTAAAAATAAGCACTTCAGTTTCTTCTTCCCAACATTTATGGTAGAGCTAATGGAAAGCGGTTAGTTATTTTAAAAAAAAAGTGTCAGAGGGCTATTATTATTGTTTAAAACATTTCAAGGGAGGCAAATCCAAAACCTTCTGTAGCCATACTCAAAACCTTCAATAGATAAGGAAAAAAAAGAAAAGAAATTTAGAAGAAATCCACAATTACAATGCCACAGACAAAAGAATCCATATTATCACTATGCAGAATGCACAAATGAACCAAATGCATTAAGGAAACAAAAGACAAACAAACCAAAGTGAAAACATTCAAGCTGAAAGTTAATGAAATAAGCCAGCAACCTGGAGACGAAGATTTAACTTCCTCAAGGCTTCATTAATACTGATGCATTTGAAGATTGCAAAGGGTTTTTTTGTTTTGTTTAGATGATAAGGGATGGGCTCTTGGGAAAATTCTAATTCATCTAAGAAATATCAAATCTGAATGAAGAAAAAAAATCTGGGATGAAACTACATTTTAGAACCATTGAAAAGTACCTGAAATGGTTGCTGCTGGGATGAAAAAGCAGCAGAAACATTTGGAGGAAGCTGGGTTGCTATAGCGACAGGAGTACCAGTCTGCCCATCCTTTCCTGTCACAACCTTTACCTGAGAGAAATATTTTGGGAAAAAAAAAAAGAAGGGAGAATCATTTTCTTTTTAAAAGTTTTTCTTCTTTTTTTTTTTTTTTTTTTTCTGTATTGTCCAACACACTCATTTTGTACTGATGGTACCTCACTGAAGAGGGGATTATAACTAAACAACCATCAGTATGGCTCAGTTTGAATGCAGGCCATTTTTGAAGAGTTCTGTCTCACTTTTAATAGCAGAACAGAGTACGGCCTTGAGTATTTATAGTGACTTCTCGTCACTGGAAACCTTTTCTCAAATCCAGTTAACATAAAAGTGTGTTTTAAATTTAATGATTGCTGCTCCTAACGGACAACAAATTAGCATGACAGACAGTTTGAACTTAAGAGAGCTCCAACATTTATTTAAGCAATGAGCACAGCCACCATTCGCTCTCCCCTTGAATTCCCAAAGTGATCAACCTTTCCAGGCAAGGGATGAAGTGCGTTGCTTTAGCAGAAAGTGATAAAGAGGGGGGAGGGGGAAATAAAAGAGAAGAAGACAAAAAAATACAAAGAAAGAACATACTCAAAAGATGTCTTAATCTTTCAAGAGGATTCATCATTTGAAAACACATAAAGACTTTTGCTGTTGCACTTTGCAAAATTCTCCAGCAGTTAGACAGACAAGCGGCTTTCACAAACAAACACGATCCATCACAAGAAGGCAGTGAAGTACAGCAAACTCCAAACCCGAAAGACCGAGGGGCAGAGCCTCAGCTGATGTAAATTGTAGGAGCTCCACTGACTTCAATGAACCAGTACAATTTACACCCGCTAAAGCTCTCTCAAAATGTGCATACTGTAGTTAAAAATACCTGGTATTTCAGCTGACAAACACGCAACCCAACAAGAACACCTAAACAATTTGACAAAATACAAACCAGGTGAAAAAAAAAATATTGAATATCCGCTGTCAATAAATTACAATAACAGGCTAGCTTTTATGTTACTATATATAGAAAGAAATGATTCCTTCAAAATTATCAAAAACTATCACAAGCAGAAATATATTTTTCCTAGTCAAGAAGTTTAAACCACAAAACAATGAACTTCAGCTGATTTACTGTTAAAATTTCCCATAAATTCCAACTGAAGATAGGATCACTAATGATTCACACCTAAGAGAGACAACGGTTTTCACTGAGGACACTCATTTCTAACAGATATTTCAAAGCAATATGAGTTTCTTTACATAACAGGTTCGGTTCTTTACAAACCGGCAACTATCTACCCATACATATTTCTACAAATTTTAAAAGGTATTTGGGAGTGCCAAGCCATGCAGTGGCATCAGTTATATCCACCCTGTTGCAACCACTTGCCATGTCGGCTTGCAGGTAGGCGCTGCACAAGACAGGCACTGCTCCAGCAGCCACGGGGTGCTGCAGGTCAAGAGCTTCACAAATGGGTATAAACGTACAGAAAAGTTGCACGGTGTCTGTCTCCAGAAAGCTTATTTCAAGTCCTTTGCCACTAATAAACAGTGAATTCAAATTAGTAATTTTAAACCTTTGCACAAATAACAAAGTTAACTTGTTACTGTCCAGTCTGTAGGTGGTATTTTTTAATCATTCAGACAGCAATACATGCACAGAGCTCTAAGACAGCCCAAGTAACCTGATTCATTACTATGGACCCATATACATTATGATTCACATGTTCTCTCTGAGTAATTAGATAACTTCAATTTTTTGTTGGCCACAGCAAAATTGAACTTCAGTAACATCTATAGTTAGAAGTCACACGAGTCAAATAAAGGTTAACCTCTTACAAGACTTTTTGCTTATTCTTTTTTGGTTTGTGTAAGTCTAGTAAGTGAAATTTAATCTATGATTCCTATTCATATTCATTCTGATAGCTTAAAACAGCTTCCACACAAATGCCACCTGTATTTGTGTGTTGGCTTACATACTAAGTAGGACAGTGAAAGCTCCTTTCACTTCTTTGTTCTTTTCTTTTAAATACATACATCTAACAGCACGCTCAAACAGACCTGTTAAATCACGCTACTAGCAGAAGTGCATTCTCACAGACTAACTATTTAAAGAAAAAATGCCATACTTCATCAAGTAAAAATGATTCTTCAGGTACTGTCACATTCTCTAATACTGCACAATCCAGGTGCCACAGCTTCATCTATGATTTTATTCCAAAACATTAACCAACAGATTTCTTACCTCATCGTTGATGACCTCAGATTGTTCTTCCTCTTCTTCCTCCTCCAGATCCAAGTCATTTTGCCTCAGGTATGCTTGTAGTGGAACACAGTGTTTCTTCTTAAAAGCTAAAAAGTCCATCATATTCCCTTGAAGATGTTGCAGGAAAAACAGTTCAATCAAACATTCCTTAAAAGTTTCCTTAAGAATTTCCATCTGCTTGTGGTGATGATCCAAACATTGTTTTCTCATTTGAGCAGTCTCTTGGTTGGCAGGAGGAATCTCCTCCAATTTTTTGGGTTGTTTTTTCACTGCTGTATTAACCGTAGGAGTAAGAGGAAGACTTGACAGCCCCTGTGGTACAGTGGCCCGTGAAGGACTTGTGGGAGGAGGTGGTGATGTCATTCCAAATGCACTAGGCCCTCCAACTCCTGCTATCAATCCACCAGAAGTCCTGTCATATCCAATGGGTCTACCCAGCTGCTGTCCCTGAAGCACTTGCTGCTGCTGCTGCATAAGTTGCCCTTGGATAATATTGCTGATTTGGGGTGGCAAGCTGGTCGTCGTAATATGGCCCGGGCTAGTCAAAGATTGCATATTTGCTCCGCTAGCTACAGGACTTTGAGGACCGAGGTGATGAATGGTGCCACCAGACTGAGAATGAGGTTGTGAAAGCCTGCGTTCCCTTACCGTAGCAGGTGTCCCAGAAGATGGAAGCTGTACTTGTGCAGCAGCTCCTTGAGCAATTTGTGCAATTCCCGGTCCTTCCTGATACACAAAGTGTCCACCGTTTGAAGGACTCAAGCTGATTTGTCTCACAAGCACACTAGCATCTACAAACCCTCTAGTAGGGCTCTGGCTGCACATACCCAAGCCAGGGCCTGGAGTGCCTGCCCGAACACTTGGTAGCGTTTGCACTGGCACAGGGTTAGGCTGTGTAGGGCTTTGAGACTGAACTTGTTGAGGCAGCGGTGACGTAACTTGAATATACGATGGGGATCCATGCTCAAACCGCCTCTGCTGAGGACTGAACTGAAAACTCGGTGATGTTGGGTTTGGAATTGGCAATGGGGTAAGCGTTATCTGCTGGTTTCCTGAAGCCACCGGTCCAACATTTTGCAGCGTGATGTTCACATTCTGCCCAGCTACTGGACTTCGACTCATTATAAATTGCTGTATTTGGTAACTGGGGGACTGGGGTGCAGATGGACTTGCAGAAGGTGCAAAAGAAGCTGCAGGGGACTGGGGTAAATTTGCCTGTTGCTCTTCTCCCTCACTGCCCGTGAAGGACCTGGACCTCTGGAGCTGGCGCTGGGCATTCTGGGGACCATTACCATGGTGCATTCTCACTGTTCTAGGTTTTTTACGGTATACTCTAAAGAAATACACAAAAACAGAAATTCAGGGAAGGTAAAAATATTTCTGTAACTGAAACTATTTAGTTACTATTTGAAAGACTACCTTACAGCAAGAACTCAGTTATCCTGTCTTTGCAGTTACTTAAAGTGTTTTATCTTATCAGTCAAATTATCTGAAATCCTCATCGCCACAAAAGCTTACTTAAATCCCTCGTACACTTCTCTAGCTAACAAAGTGCTATTAAATAGTTTTACGAATGATACATTCCTCTTAGCTAGTTAGAATGACCTAAAATTTAAAAAAAATACTTTTTCCCTTTCTGTGGAACTTCAAGAATCAACAATCTCCAATATCAAAACTATCTACTCTTTTTTGGTTCATTGTTCCCAATGTTTCAGTGCTTTTAACACTTAACACGATCTTGTCAAAAACACAACAGTTGCTTAAAATCTACAGCTCATTTCTTCAACAATAACTAAAAATATGATAAAAATGGACACAGACTATCCAACTTTATGGTTCTAGCTACTGAAGAAAAAATGCATCATCAAAAATCTCCCTACTAAATCTTCTAGATGTTTGAAAAAGTATTGTACTTAACTCTGCCTTCTCTTTCCTTCAGAACACTAACCCCTTAAAGAGATGAAAATTAATCCAAATCTGCATTTCATTTAAAATGCTGTTTATTGAGCCAAGCTATCCAGAAACCGAAAAACGTTCTGGTTTTGTATTTCAATCATTGACAAAAAAAATTCCACTGACATGCACTGACAGGTAGATTCAGTGCTGGGTGTCACAGAGTAGTAGCAGCAAAAGAAAAATGAAACCTGATTATTTTTTTTTTTTCCCTCCCAAAATCTCTCTCATATTTTGAAAACAGCAGTTTTGTTTTTGGTATTTCAGGCCAAACACACACAGAAGTATGCTGCCATTCCTCTTTGCTCCTAACTCTCAAGTTGGTTACAGGAGGCAACAGGCAGCAGCGTACCGACCCCGCAGCACGACTGGAAAGGTAGCGATGCAGCGGCTGCCCCGCTTGTCGGCTGTTCCTCACGCAGGGAAACAACAACTCATCCGCTCCCCTGTCCTGGGCTATCTGCAGCAATCTGCTCACGCCCTGGGGATGGAGATATTCCCTTCCCTGCCCCCGGGAAAGCCTCGGCTTGCCGGGAAGGTGAGGAAGCCGAGGAGCGCTGTCACACAGCGCTAGCGACAGAGGCTGCAGAAAAGGAAAGGGGCTGCTTAAGCGCACAAGGTCTCACAGGCCAGGGAGGCACCGCGGAGCGCTGCCTGCTCAGGGACTACAGCACAGTTCCGGGCAGGTTTTGTCTCTCCCGCTCCTCAGAGCTCAAATCTGAGGGAGATCCCCCAGCAAAGCGGGAAGGAAAAAAAATTCCACTCCTTACAGGCACCTTTTCCAAAAGATTTAATAATATTGCAATACTTCGTGGTGTTGTGACTCTTTCATAGCACTGATACCAAATAATTAAGATTCAAGTGATAGCACCTATCGCCAGTAACAAGGTCTTATTATTTTAATTACCTATACCTCGCTAACATTTACGGCCCAAGTGAAAACACTTAATTAATTACACGCTGATAAGGAAGCGTCACCAGCGCGCTGCCTCCGCCGGCCTC